GAGATATTCCCCTCGAAACTGGACCCCGCGACCGTGTTTCGCATGCATTCATGGCGCAAAGCGTGGATCCTGGCGCGAAACTGCCATGAATCCATGCGAATACCTTCGCGGGGGCCAGTTTCGAGGGGAATATCTCAGCCATTAGAGCACTACCTGAGCTGCCGCTTGGGCAGTGCCTTAGTTAGGGCCCCAAAAGTACTTTACACGTAAAAGCCCCATAGGTCCAGATCTGCCTGGACGCTGTCTTTAAGGCATTCAGAAGAACAACATGTTATTAAATTATCCAAGGTTTTGGAAAGGTTGGCAGTTTGGAGAAAAAACGACAGACAGAATACTTTACAAAATCGCAGATGACTCGCACGTGTTCCAGTTCAACAGCGAGGCAGAAGGAGACTTACGCCGACGAAAATGTTGTCGACATTGATTCAGAGTTGACAATTGAGCGAAACTCTCTGATTTCCAACATAAGGAATCCAAGCAGATTGCCTAGTTTCAATGAGGGAATGTCCAGGGAGTCCATTGCTGATCTTCATGTTGCTAAAGATTTCAAGGCTGCTAAATTCACGAACATGGATATGAACAAAAGGAAGGTGTTAGTACAAAGCATAGCTACTGCTCTTAGATCCCGATTAGAGTACGAACTTAACTCTGTGATTTATGCTGCTGGAAGTTTTTCGCCTTGTGACATTATGACCTATGATATTGAAAAAAACCAGCGCGCAGCATAGTATCTACTTTTTTTGGTTATTCCGCGAATGCTGTTAAAGAAGAAGTTGAGCAGCTTTCTCGTCAGTCAACAGGACGTATGCCAGAGGAGGTGAAGCCAGAGTTCGACAAGGCCCAAAAAGTATGCAATATTTCCTTCCCGTGTTATCATATGCGATCTGGCTCTTTCCCCATTACTTACCGCAAAAATCTGATGGACTTACTAGCAAAGCTAGTTTCCATTCCGACTAGCACGGCAGAGGTGGAGAAAAATTTTTTCCGTCTACTCTGTTATCAGAACACAACGCAGAAGTCGTACAGCGATGGAGCATCTAGCAATTACTTGAGGTTTGTCAACCTTTTACTGAACATATTGTTATCTAAAAAATTTCTTTAAAGGATTGGTATAAGTGGTCCAAACAGGCTGTTACCGTATGACTTTTTGAAAGATTCTAAAAGATTGTATGAAGAAACTGGTCACCTACCTGCTGACTTTCCTGGTGCTACCAGAGGGCCAGGAAAAAATTACAAAAGCGCTTAGAAGAAGAAGAAAGTTTAAATCCATTTTCGACTCAGAACGCTTTTGCACGCAATTCTACTTCTACTCCGATGACCTTTTGGAGGAAGAAGAAGATTTTTCAGGCAGCGAACTTGTTGTCTCTGACGTTAGCGATAGTGATATTGCTGATGACGATGTGCAGGAATTGAAGTTGTTCCTATCTTGTACATCTTTTGCGATAAACCTTATTGCTTTCGTTTTTTGTTGATGCAATGAAATAAGAGCACAGATCTTCATAAAGTCAATTTTGAAATTTTCTAATTTTTTTTAAATCTAATTTTTTTTTGATTTGTGCCTAAATAAGGCACAAATCAGAGCTCTTCATACCACTCTTTTTTACCTTTTCTCTCTTCCTCCCCCCCCCCCCCTAGACTCACATACCCCCTTCACCATGGAAGGTCGGGAATAGCCGAGACCCCCTTCACCTGGGGAGAGCCCGGCTCCCCCTATCGCACCTATGGCTGGGAGTTGGCACAGGGGGGTAATCGAGCATGCTGATTACGAATACAATATTAGTTTGGCACTATCCGGCTATCCGGGCACCAAAAGTTATTGTCGTAGCTCAAACTTCGTCTAAAAGAATTATCTTACATGCTGATTACAGATATAGGCCGTCCGCGCTGCGCACGGAGAGCAACGCTGTTGCGTACATTGAAAGCAATTCACGACGGGAAGAAGCGCAGAGAAAAGAGGCGGCGAGAGTGCACGAGGAAAGAGGAGTGGCGCGCAATACACACCTTGCGCACTCTCCGCGTCCTGCGCGGACGTCGTATATCACACTTTCTCATATCACACTTTCTCCGCAGAACGTCTCCCCGTGTGTTTACGATAGGTGTACGGTAGGAAGTCAAAATCATGAATTTGGCTGGAGTTCGGTCCAGAGGGCTTATTCTGCTGATTACGATTTCATACTCTCTCTCCCTCCCTCTCTCTCTCTCTCTCTGCATATTGGGAACTTTTCGTAGAGTTATGGTGGTTATACGGTATGGGATCGAAAACATAGATTTGCTTTAGGCTTCGTCTAGGGTAGTCATTTGGCGCGCCGAACATGAATATCATGCTGATTTCGCAGGATAGCGCCATTTTCTTGGGTTACGGTGGGTGTACAGGAGATGGGTCGAAGTTTCGGATTTGCTTAAAGCCTTACCTTTAACGGTTTACAAGCACACGCTGCTTAAGAATATGATGCTTGCTCGCTATCATAACGCATTATTGTGAAGTTATGGTGAGTTGCAGGGTTTAAATGGACATTTTTTTGCTTTCGGGCTAATTTAGATCCCAGATGTTCACGAAATGGGGAAACGTCGTGCATGGCGGTCTCCAGCGCCACTCTGATAACCTGTCTCAACGCGTAACGCACGCGGCAAATCCCCCCCCCCCTCTCTTTGCTTAGGCAAAAGCCGCCGTAGGGTGTATCGCGGCGGCAGTTGGCCTATAAGGAAAGCATCACAATTGTGGGAAACCTTCTATACCACAAGAATTGCCTTTATCGTGGGGAGTGAGTACGATATTCTTGAAACAGCATTTTAGGAAACCCTGCCAAGGTTTCAGGCAGGTTCATGATTCTTATCCGCTGCCATGTACCTACCGTAACTCTGGGAAAAGGTCTCAAAACGCACCGAGTCTTTTAAACGTGGTCAGAAGGCCGAATCTCTCGATTTTCAGCCAAAACTGAGATTTTGCCCTCTGCAGTATACCTACCATAACTCAGTGAAACGCCCCAAAATGCCGAAGGAGTATGATATTCGTAATCAGCATGTGAAGGCATGTCAATTAGCCCCCTAAACGGAGTTTCAGCGAAATCCATGATTTCAGCTTTCGTTTACCCACCGTAAACCCAGAAAACGGCGCTATCGGCGCAAAATGCTACGTATTCGTCATCAGCAGCTCGAATAACCCCCATATACCGAGTTTGAGCAAGATCCATCACAACATTTTGGGGTCCGGATAGCCGAATAACGCCATCGGTTTCTAGAATTATCCTTATTTTTTATCGATTTTATTGATTTTTTTTGCAAAGTTTGAGCTACGGGGCTGGGAATTGGTGAGGAAGGTATCTGAGCATACTGATCACTAACACAGCGGGAATAGTGAATTGCATGTAGAAATGAACACAGGGAAAGGTTGTACAGAAATAGGAACGGACCTTTATCGTTTCTAACACAGCCGGGCGGAGCCGGGTAAGCCAGCTAGTGCTATCTAAAGTGGTATAAGTCTCATTTAGAAAGCCACTTCGACTACGCTTTCCTTGTAAGTTCGTGCTCGCTGTCTCGTTCGGCGGAGAAAACTGCGCGTCGCTGCCGCGTCGCCAATCAGGGTACGCTTGTGCGTTTCGATTTCGTCGCGCGGATATGCATGCCTATATCGTTGACAACACGTTATTTCTCTCATCTCTCGCGCGCGCAATTGCTCAGACAATCGCTGGGGGCAGGCGGGCACCGGAAAAATAGATTGCTGATTTCTCGCACCCCGCTCGCGGATTTTTTGCAAAGCAATCAGGACTTTTCGGAAGACCGCTTGCTGAGTCAGCGGATTTTTGAGAGATCGCCTGTTGAATTTTTTTCGCTCTTATCTTTTGCAGATATATTGCTGAATCTCTGAGGAATCGAGAACTCAGCAAGCGGTCTTCCGAAAAGTCCTGCTGATTGCTTTCCAAAAAATCCGCGAGCGGGGTGCGAGAGATCAGCAATCTATTTTTCCGGTGCCCGCCTGCCCCCGGCGATTGTCTGAGTGCACGCTGGCGCGACACCCACTCAGATAATCCCGGGGGCAGGCGGTCCGCAAACTCGCACTTTTCTGCAGGCGGTCAGCAGAATTTTGGGGCGTGGCCAAACCTTGCGAGCGGTACTTCCTTTACTGTCTAATGTTCTGCCAGCGGACAGCAATACACCATTTTTTTGCAAGCGCTCGGCAAATAATTTCTTTCAGCGAGCGCTGGGCAAACTCTCAGCAAGCGCTAGGACTCTTTTTACGCAGTTTCTGCCGTACGCCGAGAAAAGGTGAGACTAACTGGCAGAGGTGCCATCGATGGTTTTATTACGCAAGTTTGGGGTACCTTCTTTTTTTCCCTGGGCAGTGCGGTCCTTCACAATGGACTGTGTGGCCCACAACAATCTTGCATATTCTCGCGGAAAGTCCGCGAGAATGCGGCCACTGCGCCGCAACTTATCCACAGAAAAACGCGATAGTTCTTCGAGCGTTCGTCTAAAATCTCGCAAAAATTGTTCTAAATTTCTGCAAACGGACCGCAAGAATTCAGCGAACTATTTTTTCGGTGCCCGCTTGCTCAAAAATCGCATGGCCGCCTGCCCCCTACAATTATCTGAGCAGTCCGCGGATGACGAGCTACTGAGTGCCGCGCCGCTGCATGATCGTCCGCGGATGGCTGCGATTTTGAGCGCGCGGGTGGCCGCGATTTCTTGCACGCGGATGGCCGTTGTTTTGGCACGCCAATAGTCAGCACTTTCCACAGCTTCGCCTCAATTATTGACCCACGCGCCAAATTTGAAGGGCCAAACTTCCAGCGCCATTAAACCTTTTAAAACTTCATTTCTGCAGAAAAATAAAATGACTGGACAATTTCGACAAACCTTTACTAATTATGTAAATAAAGCTTTCAAAGACATTAAATATGAAAATGTGGATCAAATGGTGTACAGTCAAATATATATATATCTTTGTAACGGGATGGCATCATGTACATGCAATAAACACATATAACTAAAAAATATTGTTATCACGGAACTTCACTCACCGGATTGAATAGATCGTCGTTGTCTGCTGTTATTGCATCATCGTCAATCATTTGGTCCACGACTTTTTTCGACTGGCGCTGCAAGGAATCCATGAAATACTAATTAAACACAAACAATTTACCTTATGTGGTATCCATTTCGACTCGCTTTTCCTGTGTGTATAGGGCCTGATATCCCGCTTGAAATTGATGTATCAGCAATTAAATCTGTGTTATAACCTATAAAAATTGAACACGCACAGTGCGAATTGCAAGGCCTTGTAGAGCTGCGGACGCCATCGCATTTTCTCTCGCTAAGCCTGATCAAAATTTTGCTTTCTTTCGGCTCGTCTGTCCCAGGACTAACGTAAAATCTGCAGAATGAACCTTGATGAAAAGACAACATGGACAAAATGATATATTAGGTTGTCCCAAAAGTAAACTCCTTTTTCAAATAACTTGAGCTGTTTTTGTTTTCCTAGTAAACTTAGGGTATCATTCGATAGAGCAGATCAAGCTCTACAAAATATCTACCAAGGATCCGCCTAGGTTGCATTCCATGGAAAGTTTGAAGCCAAAATCGGAAAAAAATTTTGTCACCTGAAAACTGGATTGCTGCGATAAAGAATCCTACAGACTTCCAACTTGTTCATCATACAGTAGGCACATAGTGGTACTCAAATATGCCTTTAGCATAGAAAGCGAGAAAAATTGTTCAAAAATAAACTCCGCCCCCAGCCCCTCCTACATGTCATTGTATACTACAAGCCTTGCTAAGTATAATCTCAAAACTACATTTCTGTAGGTGCTCTTATATTCGAGAAATACCAAGTTTTAAATAAAAAACCCGAAAAAAGCGACATTTTGGCATTTTCGGCCATCTGTTTTTCTCAATTTTGAGTCCCGGAAAAAATCCGACAAATACATTTTTAGGTACTACTATGTGTCTACTATATAAAGACCAAGTTGGAAATTCTTAGGAATTCTCTTGAAGGAGATCCGATTTTCAGGGTAGCCGAAAAATCTTGATTTTTAGTCTCATCCTTGGTAATGTTCGGAGAACTTGACTTTTCGGAATCAACATATTTAGACCTCAACCTTTATACAGTATATCTCAGATGTTACGAATTCAATCAAGTTACTCAGACATCAACCTTTATGCAGTGAATCTCAGATGTTGCGAATACCAAGTGCTTTGGAATCTTGAGTATTGTGCTAGAAAATTGGATGACTTTTTACAACTCACCTCGCGTCGTCATGACAAAACTGTTTGCAACGAACTTGGAAGAAATGAAGAACGCTCATTAGAAATCGATTGCGGAAAGCAACTTTCTAAGCTGTTCGTTAATTTGAGAGACTCACTAAGATTTTCAAATCAAATCTTCTGGAATTTTTGTTTCTGGCACTAATGAGGAAAACCCAGAAAATTTGCAGTACTCTTCTATATTATATTTCTGAGTCTAGAATACTAGCAATAAGAAGTATGAATGTAATAGTCCATCGTTTTTTCACAAAAGCTATAAAAATTCCAATTTTGCAAGAAAACCTCATTTTGTTTGAAGTTCCAAAATTGTCAGCGGAAATGTTCTCTAAAAACGTTTCTGCTTCATGTCTTGTTGTACTGTGTGAACGTATTGAATGTTCGACGTACGATCTAAAAATAGAAAGAAAAAGGTCTTGTCCTGCTCTGTGTACGTGTAGCGAAGAATCGCATTACACACATTTTTCATCAATAATTGCTTGAGCTTTGTGGTACAAAAAAGTTAGCACATGTTTCCACAAACTGTGTGAAACACTACATAGAAAAAATTCTCTAAAATGGAAAAGAAAGCATTTTTTTTGACTGAGATTGAAACGCTGGTTCAAATTGGCATTAGATCTATCTTCATTGAAGAAAAAAAACTTTTTGCAGTGCGTATTGAAGAATGTCCGGTTTAGAAAGAAGGTTGAAACGTGAGTGAGTAAGAGCAAAAAAGAGTGAGGGCTATAACGTATACAAACACGTTGTAGGTTACTTTCAAAATTTAGAGTTTTAAGATTTTTCTTAGTTTTTCACCTGGTGAGAGAAAGATGAATTTCAAAATATAATTTTTCGTGATTCTAAGGTTTATTTCTGAGCTAAAGAAAAATATTAAAATTTTTTCTTTAGAGTGTAGGAGCAATTGTTACAGCAGGTTTAGAGGTTTCCAACACGACTGAAATATGATTTTTCAGTACCAAAATCAAAGCCTCTGGTTCACCTCATTTTGCATCTCAAATAAACCATCAATTCATACCAATTAATAAATTCACACAATTCACAATTCAATTCATTCACACACATTCACAACACACAACTTCATTCAAAAGTTCTATCAAAGAATCCTCAGTGCTTTTGGACATATGGGAGTATCCATATATTAGGTTGGTGCACAATACTCAAGATTCCAAAGCACTTGGTATTCGCAACATCTGAGATTCACTGCATAAAGGTTGATGTCTGAGTAACTTGATTGAATTCGTAACATCTGAGATCTACTGTATAAAGGCTGAGGTCTAAATATGTTGATTCCGAAAAGTCAAGTTCTCCGAACATTACCAAGGATGAGACTAAAAATCAAGATTTTTCGGCTACCCTGAAAATCGGATCTCCTAGATGGATGTGGATGTATAAAAAAAACGTACGTCTATCATGGGAGCCTTCTCAAAATGGAATTCATATTTATTTGTCCATCGCGATACAGGCATTTTGGGCAATACTTCGGGTAATTCGCGATGAAAGAAAACCTAAAGTAATGATGACATTGAGTATTTTTGAATATAGAAAACACGATTTTTATGACTAAATTTATTCGCTAACGTGAACTTCGAACTTGTTGAAGATCTTACCGATGGTCCTTGAAACACGAATGATTTTCCACCAAATTCTATTCGAGTCCGAGTGCCTTCACCAAGTTGGGCAGAGGGTCTTCTAACTTGTAAGACATAGTGATGCAAAGCATTCGCATTACTGAATAAAACACTTTGAAACGAGGTTACATCGCAATGATCTTAAACCTACTTCTGGTTAGGAGTGCAGCTAGGAGTTGGAGGAGGGAATAGGAGTTGTCGCACTCCCGGCACTTCTCCAGCTTCAGCAGCTAGGTGCAAAGCAGTTTTTCCTGCGCTTACTTGCGTTGGGGGTATCTGAAAACACCTTTTTTAGCAAAAGAGAGGAAGAGACTTGCAAAACTTGTTGATTTCAAAAGATGCTGAAAAGGCACACATACAGTGTCTGGCAACTTCGAGTTAGGATGTTTTTTCACCCTTTCCAAACTTAGTTCTGTGAATTCAAAGTTGTCCTTCAGAAATTTCAAAAATCGCAAAGTAACTTGCCCAAATCAATACAGCTAGTGAGCGAAGAAAAGCTTACTCTTTTTAATGTCAGACTGCATCGAGAAACAAAAAAGATCCCTCTAATTATGAGAAACCAAGCGGTAAGCGTCATTCCATTTTTGTCGTTCCCTTATCTTTAAAAGGTCTCTTATTTAGGAAGTTTCATATAAGGAAACCAACGAAAAGGAGTACAAATTCTAAAACTGTCGCAGAACAATGCTAAGCATCTCCGCATTATTCAGCTTGCCGCCTTTCTGCATTGTTTACGCAATAGCGCAGAAAGGCGGCAAGATGAATAGTTGGTGCTACCGTGACCCGATATTTTGGCATCCGCACGATGGATGGTAGGTAGTAGAAAAAGCGCTGTATCTCATTCTGTGCGGGAAAGTTTTGGATGAAAATCTTACTATTAAGAGAAGAAGGTTGATCTGTAAAAACGACATAAAAATTGTAGATATTGTAGATATAGCTCAGCTGGCACCCAGCCGTGCCAGCTGGGTGCCAGCTAAGCCTGCACCGACGCTTTGCTCACGTAAGTTTTCATACTTTTTTACATAAAATGTGTGTACACCATAAAAGTTTACATACAGAAAAGAAGCAATTTCATAATGTTTTCTTTTCAGCGTTTTTTAGCCATATGAAAATTACTCGTTCTGCTCCGCAGCCGAAAAATCGGCTTTTTCTGCTTCTCAAGATGTGATTCAACCATTTGAAAAGCTCAGAAAGTTGTGAAAAGTTGTTCCATGAAATCAGCATGCATGAAAACCTTACTACATACTCTTACATAATCTAAAAATAATGACCGGTCTTCAAAACAGGTCAAAGGACACTTCGTACGAAATTTTCAAGATCAAACGGGAATTCGTTTTGAAATTTCCTAGGTGCCAGCTCCTGCCGAGCCCTATTCATGATTGTAGTCTTGAAGTCAGTTGCAAAACCACAAAGCAATTTTTCCACGCAATCAATTAAAAAAACTGTTTAACGGCGTTTCTTTTTTTGCCCTCGCAATATTTTCACAACGTGAGTTTGTTTACATTTACTTTGCCGCAACGCTGCGTTTGTATACATGCTCTTTGAACCGGCAATTCAAAGATTGAAGAAAATTTCGTACTAGGCGCGAAAAAAAACCCGTTTTTCGAACACTCAAAATTTTCCATTATGTTAAATCAAACACAGTTTGTTGGCCGACCGCGTGATAATCACCGAGGTGCGACGAAGCTCTAATTGCGCTGCGCTACGAGGCAGTCCCTCTTGCTTTCTGATGCCTCTCTCTCGGTTACAATCTCTCGCCACCACGCTCTGAGGTGCGAAATGACCTGGGTTATAGAGTCGTAATAACCAAAAATTTCTTTCAATGAAGGTCTTACTGAGACAGTTTCAACGAAGGATTTTCTAAAAACATTAAAACGACCAAAAACAGAATAGCGATTATATTAGGTCGCTCCGAAAGTTCTATCGCACCATTTTCAAAAATTCATAACTTCCGATTTCTCCAATCGATTTGAACGCTTTTATTTTTGTATGAAAGAGTGTTATGCTCTTTATAATGTGACACCAGTGCGTCACCTCTGCTTCGCAGAGGCTCGCACTGGTTCTACTCTATATGCCGCCTTACTTATTCACGCCTAATAATGGCTTTGAAACTCACCGCAATGCTGACTATCGCGAATAAAATGTAAACAACTATTCATTCCAAAAGCTTTTTTTATGTAAGATCGGTGATTTCGCGTGAATGTAACTTTTCGCAGAAGAAAAATGCAAGTTTGAAAAGGTTTTGAAACTTTTTTTTGCTTGGTAGTCGCCATGAGGACAATAGTTACCGTGAGCTACATCTCTATGCAAAAATCTTCTCAAATGCTCAGGTAGTTCCACGGCGGGTTGACCATTTACGCGAGCACTTCTTTTTGGCGTCGTTTCGTAATGTAGCAAACATTTGGTCACTTTTTGGTTTAAAGTCCATGACTTACACATCAACCTGCTAAACACATCCACGGCTTTGCAAAAAGCGTTGATACGGACCCAATTTAGCGGGCACGTTATTTCTCTCATCTCTCGCGCGCGCAATTGCTCAGACAATCGCTGGGGGCAGGCGGGCACCGGAAAAATAGATTGCTGATTTCTCGCACCCCGCTCGCGGATTTTTTGCAAAGCAATCAGGACTTTTCGGAAGACCGCTTGCTGAGTCAGCGGATTTTTGAGAGATCGCCTGTTGAATTTTTTTCGCTCTTATCTTTTGCAGATATATTGCTGAATCTCTGAGGAATCGAGAACTCAGCAAGCGGTCTTCCGAAAAGTCCTGCTGATTGCTTTCCAAAAAATCCGCGAGCGGGGTGCGAGAGATCAGCAATCTATTTTTCCGGTGCCCGCCTGCCCCCGGCGATTGTCTGAGTGCACGCTGGCGCGACACCCACTCAGATAATCCCGGGGGCAGGCGGTCCGCAAACTCGCACTTTTCTGCAGGCGGTCAGCAGAATTTTGGGGCGTGGCCAAACCTTGCGAGCGGTACTTCCTTTACTGTCTAATGTTCTGCCAGCGGACAGCAATACACCATTTTTTTGCAAGCGCTCGGCAAATAATTTCTTTCAGCGAGCGCTGGGCAAACTCTCAGCAAGCGCTAGGACTCTTTTTACGCAGTTTCTGCCGTACGCCGAGAAAAGGTGAGACTAACTGGCAGAGGTGCCATCGATGGTTTTATTACGCAAGTTTGGGGTACCTTCTTTTTTTCCCTGGGCAGTGCGGTCCTTCACAATGGACTGTGTGGCCCACAACAATCTTGCATATTCTCGCGGAAAGTCCGCAACTTATCCACAGAAAAACGCGATAGTTCTTCGAGCGTTCGTCTAAAATCTCGCAAAAATTGTTCTAAATTTCTGCAAACGGACCGCAAGAATTCAGCGAACTATTTTTTCGGTGCCCGCTTGCTCAAAAATCGCATGGCCGCCTGCCCCCTACAATTATCTGAGCAGTCCGCGGATGACGAGCTACTGAGTGCCGCGCCGCTGCATGATCGTCCGCGGATGGCTGCGATTTTGAGCGCGCGGGTGGCCGCGATTTCTTGCACGCGGATGGCCGTTGTTTTGGCACGCCAATAGTCAGCACTTTCCACAGCTTCGCCTCAATTATTGACCCACGCGCCAAATTTGAAGGGCCAAACTTCCAGCGCCATTAAACCTTTTAAAACTTCATTTCTGCAGAAAAATAAAATGACTGGACAATTTCGACAAACCTTTACTAATTATGTAAATAAAGCTTTCAAAGACATTAAATATGAAAATGTGGATCAAATGGTGTACAGTCAAATATATATATATCTTTGTAACGGGATGGCATCATGTACATGCAATAAACACATATAACTAAAAAATATTGTTATCACGGAACTTCACTCACCGGATTGAATAGATCGTCGTTGTCTGCTGTTATTGCATCATCGTCAATCATTTGGTCCACGACTTTTTTCGACTGGCGCTGCAAGGAATCCATGAAATACTAATTAAACACAAACAATTTACCTTATGTGGTATCCATTTCGACTCGCTTTTCCTGTGCGGGCCAGAAGCCAAGTGGATCCGTTTGACGCGCAAATTCTGAAAGACCCACCCAGCGAATCCGTTCGTGCTTTTGCATGGTGGAGTTCTACGTTGGTAGCATGCGCTATGCAAAATTTGAGCTTTGGATGTTGGCTGGAACCCGCTGTATGAATTTCGTTACAGACAGACAGACAGACACACACAAAGTCACGTAAACACCCTTAGCCCGTTATTATAAGTTATGATGTTAGCTGCTTACCAATGGCCATCCGCTGCATGGATAGGAGCGATAGAACAAAATCAGTCGAAATTCGAATTTTCTGTGTAGGGTCATAAAAAATCGGAAACTTGCAAAAAAAATCGAAGCATTCGGTATTGTAGGTTCTTTTACCAGCTCTTTCTAACAGTGCAAAGTTTGCGCCGATTGAGCGTCTCTGTGAAAAGTTATGATTTCCCTAAAAATGCCAAAATAAATCAAATTCGCCCTTTTGTATTGCTTGCTCGAAAATCATAACTTTTCATAGAGACGCTGAATTGGCGCAATTTTGCACTGTGGAAAGAGCTGGTAAAAGAACCTACAATACCGACTGCTCCGATTTTTGTTGCAAGTTTCCGATCTTTTATGACCTACACGAAAAATTCAAATTTTGAGTGATTTTGGTTTGAAGCTTCTTTCTCCTTCAATTGTACACATTAACGAACAATTCAGATACATGTACAAAGAGCATAAGTGAAAGAGAACGACCCAATAAATACTTGAACGATTGGACCGCCCGACTTATGGTTTTCAAATTATTTCTAGTTTGAATATTCGAATACTATAACATCTCAGAATTGAGATTTTGAGAAAGAAAATATCTGGAAATGGTCAAACAGTAATCAAATGTAGGTTTGGAAGAAATCAAACTCGTTTTTGAATTTTAACTCGAATTTTCAACTGACTATCAGCTTTGAGTATTTTTGACTGATAGCAGAAACTCACATAGTGAGGATTAACCAAATTAGGCCGTTTTGATGCAGCTCCTCTACACTTTGTTAAATTTTCTAGCCAATTTATTGAGAGGATCGGCTTTGAACGGCAAAATTCGTACAGCATCAGAGTTCAAGCCTAGTTATTATAAAAGAAAGTGCGATTGTCATACTCTGAAACTAGGGAATTTTGGAACATTTCAAAAATTAGTTGCAATCATGTTCAGTTGTGAATGGAGGGAGAAGTTGAAAATTTTAGAAGGCATTCAATTTTTTCGGGAAGCGGGAAAAACGATTCAAGCTAGAAAGTTCCACCACAGTTGAAAAGTGCGAAGACCTTTCCTTCAAAGATTGTTGGAACACAAGATGCTTAGCTGTCAGGAAAAGAAGGAAAAGATTGAACTTTCACTTTTAAAATTTTGATTGATTCGCTAGTAGGTACTCGATTTGCTGATGTCGTCATGTCAGTATATGTATTTCAGTTTCGCACTTATTACTATTTATCTGTATTGGATATGCCATCAGAACTCTGATGCACGACCTAGATCTTTTCGCACTTCAGAGTGTGGTGAGTGAATGGCAAGAGATACGGGCTACAGCAAAGTGCAGCGCAATAAGCCTGCATCGCTCCTCGCTAATCGCCACCCTGTGCGGCTGCAAGCGGCTGTCTGGGTATCAATCGACCGCCTCCCTCTCAAAACTACCACCAAAAACTATTTCCATCGGTCAGTTTCCGAATCTTATCATCCATGCAACTACATGCCATTGAGATCTCCAAACATCCTAACGTCACATCCGCCATTTTGTATATCTCTCAGCTTGAGGACAAGCTTACTCAGTACCAGTGGCGTACCCAGGATTTCGGCTCGGGGGGGGGGGCGCGGCAAAAAAATTTTTGAAATGAAGGTGCGTGGCGTTAGCCACGCACTCCAAAAAATTTTTAGGGGGGCTTCTCAACAATTTTGCGGGCCCCCAACCCCTAAAATCTGGAAAAAGGGGGCGTGGCGTCAGCCACGCTCCCGAAAAAATCTTTTATAAGGCTAATTTGAATTTTTAAAAAATTTCAAAAATTATTTTAATTGTTTACAAAAATAAACAAGTCATTTGCACATTTTTATAAGTCATGTAAGTAACTTTCAAAAATTTCGCGACCCGTTCTCAGGGGGGGGGGCGCGCCCTTCCCCCCGCCCCCCCCCCCCTCGGTACGCCACTGCTCAGTACCTCCAGGACGAGGTGAAAGTCGTTGTTATCCAGCGCGCTTAAACCAAATTCCCTACTCGATCGATAAATTTGAGGATAATGGTACCGAGGTTGAATTTCTTTATGGTCTCACTGTAGTAAGTGTACTCGTAACACACGTAACTCGGAAGACGTTCGAAAAAAGCCAGACAAGCTCGAGGACGAGCTTTCTGAAGGAATGGAAATGTCGGGAAGCAGCTATTACCTAACAGCCAGTGGCGTACCCAGGATTTCGACTCGGGGGGGGGGGGGGGGACAAAAATTTTTTTCCATAAAGGTGCATGGCGTCGGCCACGCACTCCGAAAAAATTTTTGGTATGCTTCCTGAAATTTTCGGGGGCTCAGGACCCCGACGTTTCAGAAAAAAGGGGCGTGGCTGACGCCACGCTTCCGAAAAAATCTTTTATAAGGCTAATTTGAATTTTTAAAAAATTTCAAAAATTATTTTAATTGTTTACAAAAATAAACAAGTCATTTGCACATTTTTATAACTCATGTAAGTAACTTTCAAAAATTTCGCGACCCGTTCTCAGGGGGGGGGCGCCCTTCCCCCCGCCGCCCCCCCCCCTCGGTACGCCACTGCTCAGTACCTCCAGGACGAGGTGAAAGTCATTGTTATCCAGCGCGCTTAAATTAAATTCCCTACTCGATCGATAAATTTGAGAATAATGGTACCGAGGTTGAATTTCTTTATGGTCTCACTGTAGTAAGTGTACTCGTAACACACGTAACTCGGAAGACGTTCGAAAAAAGCCAGACAAGCTCGAGGACGAGCTTTCTGAAGGAATGGAAATGTCGGGAAGCAGCTATTACCTAACAGCCAGTGGCGTACCCAGGATTTCGACTCGGAGGGGGGGGGGGGACAAAAATTTTTTTCCATAAAGGTGCATGGCGTCGGCCACGCACTCCGAAAAAATTTTTGGTATGCTTCCTGAAATTTTCGGGGGCTCAGGACCCCGACGTTTCAGAAAAAAGGGGCGTGGCTGACGCCACGCCCCCGAAAAATTTTTTTATAAGGCTAAATTGAATTTTTAAAAATTTTTAAAAATTATTTTAATTACTCACAAGTATAAATAAGTCTTTTGCACATTTTTATAACTCATGTAAGTAACTTTCAAAAATTTCGCGACCCATTCTCGAGGGGGGGGGGCGGGTCCCCTCCCCCTCGGTACGCCACTGCTAACAGCTGCTCACGATGGAGGTTGGCCTAAGATAGCGAACTTCTGGCAGTAATCTCCGCCCGCCAGCAGAAGCCGGTGCTCTCTTCTCCTTTTCTCCCCTTCTGTGGCCGTATTCATCAACGAACCCTGAGGGTTAAACTAACCCTGGGGGTGGTAAGTTTAACCCTCAGGGTTCATTTTCCGTATTCATCAAACATAGGGTAGGGTTCACCATGGAACGCAATCCACCCTTATCGATCAGCGAACCTGTAGCCGTATTCCGAACCCTGAGGGTTAAACTAACCCTGGAGGGTTAAGGCGTCAGTTACGCGTGCGCTGTGTAAACTCACGTAACGGAATGCCTAAGTACGTGCTAAATTCACTTTATACTTCTACTCTTTCATTGTTATAGTAGTATAATCAACGAATGAGCTCCTAACACTGGTTTTTATAATACGTCTCTAGCATATTTGTGCAGCATCCAATCTTACAGCGTGAGTTTATTTTCATGAGTGCAGTTGTGCCGTGTAAGTTCTACTCTTGCGCAGTTCGTTTCATACCGGGCTTGTACTACTCTTTTAAGGGTCAATGCATGTTATCTTAAAGGAATTCTTCTGTTTTGGCACTCGTTAGGGTGGAATGCGCAACCATTTTTCCTCGTTGCATTCATTTGTCACCAAAACTAGAATTCTTTTTCTCGCAAAGTCAGTGTTTTATGTACTTTGAATTTGAACATAAAACGAAGTCGAAACTAAATACTATAACAACAACTAACACTGAATACTACAACACTCGTTGATCGTTTTCCATAAAACTATCAAATGCGAGTAAATGTTTGTATGAAGTGTTAGGGTAGAGTTAACCCTGCTCTAAGCTAGGGTTAAATTAACCCTGATGAATCATGTAAGTTTAACCCTCCAGGGTTAGTTTAACCCTCACGATTCGTTGATGAATACGGGTTAGTCGCTTTCGGGGTAGAATTAACCCTCAAGGTTAGATTTAACCCTCAGGGTTGAGCCTACCCTGTGTTTCATGAATACGGGTTAAACGCTTTCCAGGGTTAAATTAACCCTCCAGGGTTAGTTTAACCCTCAGGGTTCGTTGATGAATACGGCCACTGTATATAGTTTGTACTAGCTGGCTTACCAGGCTCCGCCGTATGTTCCGAATAGAAATTCCATTTCTTAACCGATCCGGACCAAACTTGGCACACATACCCTTCGGGCCCCGGCGGGTGTCACAGTCCACTTTTCGTTATCGATCGATGTCGATTTTATCGATTTTTTGCAAAATTTGAGCTACGGGGCTGGGTGTTGGCAGAGGGGTGTAATCGAGCATGCCGATTACGAATACAATATTAGTTTTCGAAACCGTGCATTACTTTTATCGATTTTATCGATTTTTTGCAAAATTTGAGCTAGGGGGCTGGAATTTGGCAGAGGGGTGTAATCGAGCATGCTGATCACCCCCACGGGGGTGATCAGCATGCTCGATTACCCTCCTGTGCCAAATCCCAGCCCCGTAGCTCAAACTTTGCAAAAAATCGATAAAAGTAACGCACGATTTTAATAACTATTATTGTATTCGGAATCCCCATGCTCACTTACCCCCTGTGCCAACTCCCAGCCCCGTAGCTCAAATTTTGCAAAAAATCGATAAAATCGATATCGATCGATACGAAAAGTAGCCTATGACACCCGCCGGGGCCCGAAGTGTATGTGTGCCAAGTTTGGTCCCGATCGGTTCAGAAATGGAATTTTCTATTCGGAACATACGTACATACATACAGACATACAGACATACAGACAAACAGACATTCAGCTTTATATATAAGATAATAAATACTTTAGTAAGACTAATGTCAACCCGCCACACATCAGGTAAAGGACTCGCGAGCCTTTATCCTGATATGGAAGTTCCAGGGAGATATTTTTTCGAATTCTAAGAACAAATTCAATTCTAATGAACTTTGATAAAGGATTTGAAAACTTCAATTCCCCTCCCCCCTATCCTTCAATCCTCCGATCGTATGGAAGGAGTTGCTCATCAACGGATGAGAGAGAGTGTGTGAGTTTTGTACTATTCCATTTACATATTTACCAACAATTATACAAATACCTAATCATTTCAGAAAATACTTAAAATAAAGCGCTTTTACCCCTCCATCTGGTTTCCTGAATACAAGAAACGTCAATTTTACGTTTTCTGAGATCCGCCAGTTCGCGATGACGACCTGTTAGTGATCCAACATTGATGTTGGCTAGACGCAATGCTGAGAACTTGGAACTTCTTCTATGGTGAGCCAGCTTCTTTAGCCGTCCTCGCTCACGTTGTTGGAACGGTAACCCTCGCCTACTGTCCGCATTCGTCGGGCTCGAATGCGCGTCGCCTCCGGGGAACGCCCTAGCTTTTACACGAGATTCTTGTTGAGACATAAAAGAACGTTTTGATGCGACGTGTTGTCTTCTACAACCGGCTTGTAGCTTGCTTCCTGTGGGTGAGCAGCCATGACGCTGGATTCATGGGCAGAGCTTTGTCAAAGAAATTATGCCCGCCGCGGAACCGAACTCGTGACCTTCCTCGCCGTAGTCAAGGGCACTAACCTCTCGGCCAACTCTGTTCTTTGTTTTTTACTTTATTCTTAGGCCCGTATGCACGTAAACCCCGCGGGGGAGATGTGCGTTTTACCATTACAATGATTCCCGCTGGGGATCCCCTCCCCTCCCCACGCGAACCCCGGTATGCACAAAGACAATATCGGACAAGGGATCCTCTGTGGGGAGGGGAAGTGAACCCCCTTATGCACAAGAGGGGATCAAGCAGGGAGATCACCTTGCTTTCAAATTTTCTATGGAAAACCCTTTTATAGCCTTCTGAGCTTTTAATCTTTTCGAACGTTATGATTATTGTACTAATCCATATCCTAGTTCGTCTCCGGTAGTCACTTTTGCTTAGAAGCTACTTTGGATCGTACACAATATTCTTCCAAGCCATCTCATTTTATTCAACTTTTACTTGTTCTCATGGTAGCGCATGGATTCGCCCATTCGCTTTGGTGCTTCCTCTTTAAACTCGCTTGAAAGTGATTCGCTTATGGCTTTCACACCATGATTTATGTTGTTGAATTAGTGGGCTAAGCTTGCTGTTTTCTGAATTTGGTTCTACTCTGGCTGCTGGAGACATCGTCTATAATTGGCTGGTTTTTTTTTCTGTTTCGCTTTTTTTGCACTAACCACGTTCGTCAGGAGCATCTATGAATGCACAAAATAAATAAATAAATAAATAAATATAGCAATTTCGCTTTCCCCTCTAACCTGTTGGGTAGAGGTATAAAAATAGAAATTTGAAAAACATCGGCTACTGTCATTTGCAGTACGCTACAGCGCTACGGTAACATGTAGTAAAATCTTAGGTGGCCCAGTGTGGCCCTTTATATAGTTAAAGGAGTGTGCACCACCCCTAAAAAGCTGTGGCAGCCACTGGATATTCCTGGCTGGGTATTCCTCCCTAGTTTATCCGTTGGCTGAATAGCTTGGTAGATGGGGCCAAAACTAAGAACCACAACCCAAATTAGGCCCTTGCTTGCATTCGCATTCATTTTTGGTATATATGAGACTAGTTGACTTACCCGGCTCCGCCCGGTCCTGCCATTATTATATTCGTAATCAGCATGCTCGATTACCCCCCTGTGCCAACTTCCAGCCCCGTAGCTCAAATTTTGCAAAAAAATCGATAAAATCGATATCGATCGATGACGGAAAGTAGCCTATGATACCCGCCCTACCACGAAGTATGTGTGCCAAGTTTGGTCCGGATCGGTTCAGAAATGGAATTTTCTATTCGGAACATACGTACAGATAGACATACAGACAGACATACAGACAAACAGACATTCAGCTTTATATATAAGACTAGCTGGTTTTCCCGGTCTAGCCCGGGCCGTCAGCCGACCCTTGCTCCAGCCCCCCCCCATCCTCCTCTCCTTCCCACCTAGTGATTATGCTGCGTACAGGGGGTTTCTGTGGCAAAGTCACTCACCCGCTGAAGGCTCGTCTTGAATCACCGCATCCTCCCTACCGCGAGAGACGAATGAACTCTACTGTTATTGTCTACACAAAATCATTTAATTGCCTTGTTAGCCCATGTTGAGAACTCATTCTTATGCCAAAAATCAATAAATCAATAAACCAGCGAATTGCAACAAAAAGTAGCGCTAAACCAGCTCCGGGGTCAAATACATATGTGTGCAAAGTTTCAGCTCAATCGGTTCATTGGCAGGCGTTTCCATAACGAACCAACAACCAAACGAACACACTTACAAAGTTTTAGTTTTATATATATGTATATATATAGATGATTTGGCAAAGCTTTTTTTACAATTCAATACATAGTAACTTATAGATGCTCTTACTGTCGCATAGTGTCAAAGCAACACTATCTCTTACTTGGGTGGAAAACATTCTAAAGATGAGGCATAGCTCTGATTGTGGGGACTTTTCTCAGCCTCTATTTTCTCATGAATACGTACTTAGATGAGTAAAGTAAAATTCAATCTATTCCCTGTGTTTTCTTGACTGAATGACTTCAAAAAGTGCTCAAGTTAGACGGATGTTCATACATGTTAAGTAGTTTCTAAATAAGGTTTACGCAAGTACCTACCTATGTATTCTAATTGTAATACCTACTCGTCATGTGTCAACTCTTTCCACTCTAATTATTCAAACTCATGTGTCAACTCTTTCCACTCTAATTACTCAAACAATGTTATAGTTATTTAGCCTAAGTTAACACGTTTCGGACCGGTGCTGCACATGGTGCAGCACGCTGCTTTGAAGGTTCTTTCTGACTTTTGCAGGAGGTCTTCTTTTAGCCCAAGGTTATCAAGTCAAAGGCCTAAGCTTCTACTTTTCAAATGACTCTGTAGAGCTGTGCCGCCGATATTTGTACATGAAATATAAGGACAAATAGCACAACAGTTACAACGAAGTGCGGCAACGTGAAAGACGCGTGCGACGTCGCAACTTTTCTTTGCTCCGATTTAAAGAGATAAACCGTAGTTTCAATAGTGACGAGTTCAGTGTACAACATAGATGCTTTTAGATACTATTTGAAACTGAGTTCTTGCTCCTATCTTTCAAGAAAGCACAAAAGTCCCTCTCAAGCGACAAAATTCAAACGCTTCGAATTCACCCAGAACTTTGGGTATGGAGCTTATCTGGCATGCTGATTACAGATGTAGTCCACAGTCTGCGAAATAAGGTTCCTTTGCTGGCTAACGGCCGAAAGTGCATTCTTTTTCGCCGCGCGCGATTTTGCGGTCCGAAACGTGTTAAATCCATGAGCATTCCAGAAGCCTACATGAATGAAAGTTACAACAGAGTTTCTCAATTTACGCCAGAAAGGGCGCCAAAATTGCTTCATTCTTGTCCATTTTGAAGCAAATTTCACATAATAAGAACTCGCCTAAGTGAGGAACTAAGAGTAAACTACCCGCAAGAGAACAAACGGAAAGATCAGTTTTGATCTATATCAATGCTGCAGACCTATCTCCCAGACAACAGTTTACCCATGCATTGCCTCCTTGATTTTTGTTGCGAACGGTTGCTCCAATAAAGTGGCTGGATCACTGCCTCTCTTTTCTCAGGGCAGACTTTTTAAGTAATGTTATGCACTTGATCTTTATACCTCAAAAAACTTTGTATTTGCCTTAAGTGAAAGAACTTTCAAGTAACATTTTTTGAACGTGAAATCCTCTTTTCTAATATTGAAAAAAGCTGCAATTACTTCATCTTCCATCTAATCTTCAAATTCTTTCTTTCTGTCATTATCTAGATAGATACTTGTTCGTATTGATCAAAAAAGCTTGTTATCGATTTGGACTTCTGTAAATGAAATCGTTCATCTTCGTTTGAGACAAAATTTTTGCGATAATTTATGTGAGAGGGAGCTCTGCAACGACTACGACTTGTAGTTAGAGATAACAGAGGCCAGAAAATGAGCCAAAATTTGCATCCTGCTCTTTTCTTTTGAGTTTCTAGAGTTAAAGTTCTTGCTGCCATTTTCGTATCCTTCCAGAAAACCAATGGTTCTTTACAAAGTACACGGGAATCGATGAAAGAAGATCGTCTTGAACGAATGATTTACCCTGCATAATCTTGTAGTTTTTTCTTCATGATTCTCTTGATAAAAAGTGGATTGAAGCTTCTATCATCGTATATCAACTACTCAGATTTTCTGCTATTTGTAAAGGACAGTTATGCCTCATTATGGTCAAATTCAATTAGCTCAGTTTTTTGACTTTCTAAGTTTCGTTTTTATGCCGTGATGAAAAAAATGACAATTTCCCGCATTTGCGCACATCAAGAAAACTGAGATTTCCCACTTCTTTGGGCTAATTTTCCATGGTTCTTGGCCATACCTTTCGTCTAAATGTGCATTTATAGACACTGCATTTGCGATTGGCTATTGAATTCAAACATTTGGCATTTGCTAGATTGCGTGGCGACCAAAATCGTTTGAGGCATGTCCAAGGCCGTAGGGAAATGAGTTCTATTTATATAGACTCAACATTCCAATTTTCATTAAATGCTCTTTTCAGAGATACCAACAATGGACAAGAATTTGTCTGCAAATTTGTAGGAGCCGCAAAAGCAACAATTTTTTATTAGCCAACCTAATAATTTTCATAAATGTTGGAGCCAGTCTAGAAATGTTAGAAATAATTCTTTTGCTCAACAAAGGCGCTCTCCAGGTTTTTTGATAAGTTTATATCTAATCTCTTGCTGCCTTTTCTCCTGTCTTTGTTATATCAAGGTGGAGTTTTCGGCATCTGTTGATAAGGAACGCAATACGCCGGCTTCCATCTCGCCAGCTGGCATTTGGCTCCACTTTGAGCTCGTTCCTGTGATGATTTCATATTTTTTTCAACTCTCGACTTTTCTTTAGAAAGCATATAATGGATTTCTTGGTCCAAAATTTGCATTCTTTTCGCCAACAATCTTGACAGCTTGCTACCATACCATTAATTTCAAAATCATTATGTAAACACGCTGATATAGCTATTTGCACTTTTTGCAACTACGATTTTCCTATACGTAATGCATTCAGTGATGACGATCCCTACCCCAACCAAGAGAAAGCAAGCGGACAAGGTGATATCGGATCAGTTCCTCGCTGCGGAGCTTGATGAGGTTGAGGAGCTGCTCAAAGAAGGGGAAAAGGTGGGCGTTCCACACTTTTCAAAATCTAAAGGAGGGAAAGATTAATGGTGAATCCAAGGAAATGGTGAGAGAGAGAGAGAAAGAGAGAGAGAAAAAAAGATTTCCTTTTTGGCTACTAGTTTACTTCAAGTCATCGGCAATTTATTCGAAGAATGTTTCAAATCAGAATTTTTGCTGTCTTTTGCAACATAACACATTTATAATTAACGTCATAGTCACCTTAGCTGAGAAGAATCTACAGTGAATTATTCTGCAAGACAAGAACCAAGATGTGTTGTCCTGAGCTTTCACACTGATAAGACTCAGTGGATGGGATCGTGGGGGATGGGGGAGGGGAAGACAAAAAGTACTTCTTGAATAAAAGTTACGTCCTCTAAGGAATGTTTTCGAGTGGTAGATGTGATGATTATCAGTGCTAAAGTGTTCTCTGTACAGGACAACCTTACAAATTTATACAATACTTTATGGGGACCATTACTCTTGCTCTGAAATTGCGCTAATGAGAGCAAGCGTTTGCCATTAATGTCAATCACGGAATTCTTCATTTTGATTTCAAGAGGGACCGATTTTCCCAAAAACATGTTTGGAGTGAAAGCACTATACAGGGTGTCCCAAAAAATGTTTGGAACGTTTGATCGTTAATATCTCTCTTCCCAAGAAGTCTTTTGCCTTGCTTCAGGTACCGTTTTGTAGAGCTGGCTTCAGCTTAGATTTCCATTATAGAACGAATCACCTATCTCTCTTCATTACTGTAGGATTACGGTAGAAACTTGAAACATATGGTGTCAATGTGAAAAAAGCTGCCATTTCAAAATTTTTCAAAAAATTGTGAAAACTTGTGTAATAGGGTTTTTATGAATGCTGAGTTCAATACTCAACTATTCACAAGATTACGAAGCTTTCTAAACGGTGTAACTGCACTTTTTAGGAGCATTGAAAAAACCGCTACCTCTTACCTGGCATAACTCTTCAATGAAGCATCATAATAAGTCGGAAACTTTACAGTTATAATCAGCAACTCTAATTAGCCTAGTGTAGAAGCTTTCAGGCTGTTTTGTTTCTTTTCTGAGGCAAAATATGGCCTTTCATTGCTCAAAACCCTCTTTCAAGTTTCTACCGTAATCCTACAGTAATGAAGAGAGATGGGTGATTCGTTCTATAATGCAAATCTAAGTTGAAGCCAACTCTACAAAACGGTCCCTGAAGCAAGGCAAAAGACTTCTTGGGAAGAGAGATATTAACGATCAAACGTTCTAAACATTTTTTTGGGACACCCTGTATTTTAGCCCTTCTAAGTGCGCCTGAGATTAGAAACTTCCAATTTAGTTTCAAGATCATTTACACAAATCGGTTGATGAAGATACTCTTCTACATGTCATAAATAGAGAATCGGTTTTTACCTGGAAAGTTTTGCATGTTTAGGGTTTCACTATTGATTTTAACATAAAATCGTTGCTCATACACACGTGATTATTCTATATTAGGTCAGTGCGAAAGTTTTGCCACTTTTTTGAAGTAACCCACTAACCCGAACAGTCAAGATGAACAAGCACCAGACTGTATTCGTTCTCTTCAGCTATGATATTTCCAATTTGATTCATTGAGAAAGTGCTGAGATAACTGCTGATCACAACCCTTCCTTTTCATCATGTATAACAAGGGAATGGTGAGAAATCGAAGTGGCCAATCCAGGGAAGCTGCTTGCCATTAGATGCAGCATGAAGTGGTGACTCTAAATCTGTCTTCCCTGCCTGCTTATCGCTTTTCTGGACGAAGCTATAAGCCATAAGGCCATTATTTGGCCAAAAAATTATGCGTGTAATTGAAAATTTAGCCGTACAGAGCCGCGTTCGCCTTAATGCTGGGCCAAAACATGCAGCTAGTTTACTTCAAATTTTCAAAGCTAGAAGCGAGCTAAAAGTGCAACAATGTGCTCAATTTCGCTGTTTCTATGTATGATTTTTTTCACAATAAAACCGCTTGTAGCTTCGTCCACAGGAGCCATAAGCAGATAATGAAGACAGATTCGAAGTCATCGTTTTATACTGCATCGAATGATATGCAGCTTGTTTGGTTTGGCCACTTCGACTTCTAACCATTCCCTTGTAAGTTTCCCTTTTTGGAATTCTTTGCGACTTCTCAGTGTGCCTGATAACAGTTGATAGGTCAAACCTTTTGCGAATTTATGCAAATTTTTATAACTTTGTTGTTTATCTTTCAAGTTTCTGGAATTTATTTTTGAAGTGACCAATTTTTATATTCCGCCTGCTCTAACCTCGTAGAACATTGAATGCTAAACATTTTAGGCACCATTCGATGACATTTTTTTCCTCTTCCCAGCAACTGTCTTTTTTCGCGAGAACGCAAAATCTGTGCTGAAAATCGCAGTATTTCTCAGATTGACTATTGCGCACTGATGTATCCTAATTTACAAATTTTCCAAAGCGAAAATCGCTCCTTTACTTTGTAAGTGAAAGATAGCAACGATCGAGTGTCAAACGATTTTCTTCAAAACTCAGGGCTTTTGGAGTATCGTTCAGCAAAATCTAAAAAAGAAGCTGAGAAAAGGAAGAAAAATTGTATAGTTGGCAAAATTTGCCCTATCCGCAGGCTATTGCTCCCTCAAAAAATTCTAACAAAATTTTGAGAAAGCGAAAGTTAAACAGGATGGAAACGAAGGGTTGTAATCTTCAGCGATTATCTCAGCACTCTCTCAATGAATCACATTTGGAGAATGACAGTTGAAAAAAAGAAGAAATTCTGCATCGGTGTTGCTCGAAGTGCTTGTTTATCTTACCGTATTAGCTGGCATACCCAGCCCCTCCCAGTCCTTTCAAACACTATGTCAAAGGTCGCCATCTCTATTCCTGCACAACCTTTCGCTGTGCCCACTTCTACATAATTCCCTATCCCCGTTCTGTCTTCGTAAGCAACATGCCCACTAACTCTGAAACTTTTCTAATATCTACAGGGTGCGGAAAAAATACTTTCCCTTAAAATATAGTTTGAAAAATCGGCGTAATTCACAGGTTTTTCTGGTAAATTTGGCATAATTTCCCAAATGTGAATATATTCTAACATTTTACAAAAACTGGCCTCAAAATTCTACAAAGGGACCCGCCGGCGGATCCCTTTTCGCAGCCCATTTCATGTCAAATCTTTCAACTCCCCATTAGAAGTGAAGAAGTGTGAAGATTTTTGGGAAATGTTTTGTTTGTCACGCGAAATTGAGAAATCCTCTACTGGTTAAGGAATGTGGTAGTGGATACCGAAATATTCGGAAAGTAGCCAGTCAGCAGTTGCACTAGTAGAAAAGCTGTGAATTTTTCTAAAGAGGAAGTGGCTGCGGTGCAGCAGAGTGCGCTCAGAAAACGTGGCACAGAGACTAGGTATAATTGTTTATCGCCTCAAAATCGTGCTGTAGACAAAGTCCGATGCTCTTTTCATTATTCCTGTCACTTTTTTGTAATTCGGAACTTCGAATCATAGTATGGATCCAATTCGTTAAGCAAGCGCAGTCCTGACTCGCCTCTTTTCGAGAATTTTTGCGATTTGCGTGTGATACAAACTTCCTTATTTGGCCAAAACAAGAATCACCAATCCATAGTTCATTTACAGTGGGTATAGAATATTGGAGAAGAGATAATGCACTACATACCAGCTTAATTTAAACCTTATATCAATGCTGTTGGTATAGTTACGGTCCAAAATTGCGCTTGTATGCTATCGGCGCGTTAATGTTCTTACGGGCTGTTATCGCTCGTTCAAATGGACAGAAGCGAACAGTTTCAAATCAAACTTATCTTTATTCAATCTCAAGGATCTCGCTTACTTATGGGAATCAAAAAACTACAGATTTGCTTTATGTTTGAGGCATTTCAGGGGACAAGTTGGAGGGACAGTACTTTTCCCGCACCCTATAATATTGTACTCGTAATGCATTCTCACTTACCCCTCTGTACCGACTCCCAGCCTGTAGCTCAAACTCTGCAAAAATCGGAAAGTCGATATTGATCGACGACGAAAAGTATTATGACACCCGCCCCGCCACGACTCAGACACTCGCGGTTGACGACCGCGGGTGAAACGGAGTTCGACTCATTGAAAACATGCGGAACATCTCTATTACAGTCGGAACAATCCGGATATTGGTTCGAGACAAAACTGCCGGAGAAACGCCGGTCGAGCAGTTGTCACCTGCGTTTGGCTCGGGATTTGTCTGCAGCACATTTTCCGGTCAAACGCAGGTGAAACGCCGGTTGAATGCAGGAGTCCCGAAGCGACCATGAGGCGTGAATCTAGCAGTAGAGCACTCTTGAGTAAGGTTCAAATTTCCGGCATACATTCTATACAGAGCAATCAACAAAGACTGAATCGACACAGATTTATTCATCTCAGATTAACTAAACGGCAAAACCAGAACAAACGATAACAATACTCTCACCAACGGAATCTTAACATCAAGATTGTACATCACTGAGCAAAAGAGAAAACAAAAATTAGTCTTTTTCAGGCAAGTCCCGAAATTCGTCTTTTCAATTGTCGTGCCTTCTTGGGTCGTTATCACTTTTTTCTAGAATTGAAAAGAACATTACATCACAGCTCTGAAAAATGGGGAGAAACTTACCTTGGGAGGCATGAGCGTCAGGCGGACTGCATCAAATTCAATTGACTTATGTCAGCTCTGAAAACAAACGCGAACGGTAATACCCTCCACAAGAATTTTTCACACCCACCCGGGTGAGACCGGAGCAGTTAGTTTGAGATGAAGCATGAAAAACGTACAATGCTCTGCTGATTGCCGGCGTGTGTTGCCCAGTTTGTTCGCGCTTCTGAGAGAGGTACAATCGCAGAGAAACACCAAAAACAAGAACGAAAAAACAAACAAGGATCGATAAACTAAGACATACGTAGTATATATATATATATATCCTACTATAATAACGCGCTAAGAGTGTTGACGTTTCTTTGTGTGGTCTGTGTGAATGTCTGTCTGTCAC